TATTAATGAGATATTTAATTCTCATTTATGTTGTGTCAGCTAGAAATTGATCGAACTAAAATTCGAATTTCAGGCTGTGCACTACTATGCAAAATCTTAGAAAAATCATAACTTCCTCATACGAAGTCAGATTTGGACGTTCTCTATATGCACGCTCTCGGTTTAATGTCTACTACGACTTTCATTTAGATCTCTAAGGATAAAAAGTAATTTATCAAAAATTCATTTTTTACGTTATGCAGTGTTGTGCCGGATTAGTCGTAAAACTTCGACGTGTCATAACTTCGTCGTTATAGCCTCGAGTGGCTAGTATATGTTATGTATGGTATTTTGGGGAACTCACTAAGCTTTATACTTACAGTGTTATGTGTTATGTGTTTCAGGTATCAGTGATGATCGCGGGAAGGCGCCTGCATGATTCGTACACACGCATGGGATTTTATGTATTTTGATCTTGGGAAATATTTTGTGAAACAAAGATATGATACAATGAGATTTTGTTAATAAATGTGCTTGGAAAATGTGTTTTAAAATGCGAAAAATTGTCTTAAATTTTACGGTGTTATAACAATTAATCAATAGTCTGCTATAAAAATGTTATTCTCTTTGAGTAGACACACAAATACAAATCACATACAAAATTCACAAAGAAAACAAGTTTAAAGGTTTTTTGTTAGTTTGAGGGCTTTGGACCATTTTTCAAGCCATGTTATTATGTTAAAAAAATTAATTTGTAAGTTTGTTATATACTAATTTTTTTTTTTATTATTTTTCTTGGTTTAAGTATTCTTTTAAGAAAATCATTATATTTTGTGGTTGAAACTTTAATATAAATTAGATTAGATTTATGTTATCGATCATATGTTATGGAAAGTGATATAGATAATATTTAATTAAATATTGTATATATGTTTGTATGTTTGTGTTGCTTCAAAGTAATAATTAATTACGAATCATGGATATGCAATATTATTGATAGTATCCATGTAAGTCTCTTTTAAAATGCAAATTGTCTATCTTATCACTTTATATTTTAGGGAAAATGACATAAATGTCTTACGAACTTTCTAGGGTTTACCCGTTGAGTCCCTAAAGTTTTTTTCGAGCTTTATGGATCCCTAAACTAGGATATGACCTGCTCTTTTAGTCTCTGTCAACCTGAAATAATCATTCAGTGACCTTTTAGACCAAAAAAACTCATTTTATACCCCTATAAAGCCAAAAAAATAAGTTTGTGGATCAATTCGTACAAATAAAACTCTTATTTTCTTCTAAAGCTGATTCACACTCAATTCGTATTGATCCCCAAACTTTTTTTTGTTTTATGGGGGCACAAAGTGAGTTTTTGTTTTGTTTAAAAGATCACTGAACCGGCTATTACAAGTTGACATTGACTATAAGAGCGGGTCATATCCTAGTTTAGGGACCCATAAAGTCTGACCAAAACTTTAGGGACTCATCGGGTAAACCCTAGAAAGTTCATAGATTAATTTTGTCATTTTCCCTATATTTTAGTATATGTTTAACATTTTAATTATAATAATAAGTTTCTTTTAAAGGTTTTCTTTCGTTTATTAATTATAACAAGTGGTTTTAAAACTAATGAACCATAACTATAAATAATAAAATCAAATTATAAAAATCAGAGATATGTAATATTATCTATGCAAGTTACTTTTGAAATACAAATTGTTTATCTTATCAATCTATTATTTAGTGTATGTTTTATATTTTAATAGTAATATTAAGGGGATGTTTGGGGTATCTTTTGAGAGGGCAAAATGACTTTTTGGAAAAGTTCCAAAAAGCCAGGTTTCCCTGACTTTTCCAAAAAGTCAGTTTTCCTTCTATAAAAAATCCAAAATAAACTTTTAAGGAGTTTTTACCAAACATCTTTTTTCTATTATCTTTTCCAAAAGTCCTTTTTGCCCTCTCAAAAGATACCCCAAACACCCCCTAAGTGTTTCTTAAAAATCTTCTTTAATTTATTAATAATAATAAGTTGTTTAAAACTAAAGAATAATAATTTTAAATGATAATGATATCATTTATAAATTACATAATGTTTTTTTTTTTGAAAGAGCATAAATTACATAATAATTAATATCATTATTGAAATTAGAAAATAATCGCATAAGTAAAAATTTAAATTAATCAATCATAAAAATTGTTAAAAAAATATTAAATAGATAATTATATTTAATTTTATTACTGAAGAATGTAGGTTGATGTCAGTGAATAATATTGTTCAAAATATTATGTCAAAGTTAGTGTCAATAACATAACTATTTTAAACATATATTTTTCAGCATTTTAACAATATATTTTAATCTATGTTGTGCATCGTGCGGGAATTCGTCTAATGAATTAAATAAAAGGGTGTATGATGAGTTGATAACTTGTTACGAAAATTAAATAATAGGATTATTGAATTCTTGAAAATAGGTTATGTAAATGTTGGTAGTGTTGGATATTAACCAACAGGGAGGGGAAATACAAATAGTAATAATCTTAATGGAATTGAATAAGGTCGACTAGACATTGATTAGAATATGTGATAGAAGTAGTCAGTGTTCAGTTGAGTTATAATTTTTATAAAGATGACCTTCACATAAAATAAAGTCAATGTTAAGAACAAAATAATAAGGCTCATGATGAGGTATTAAGAAAGTGGAAAGAATGTGAGTTATTAGTATGTATATGTTGGTGTTGACTGTAATTTTTTGCATCCCAACACGATTGTGGCTGGATATATCGAATAACTTCGGACATGTTATTCCAAATGATAAATAAAATACTAATGCTCAAAGCAAAGATATCACGTTACATTAAACTAAACACTTTCAAATGAAAATTACTTAATATTATGGGTGAGTAATAAGGAAAACATCGTGGGTAATGGATATGTGGTTTAAGATAATACGGATATGTGGTATAAGATAATATAATGACATCGTTTGATAAATCGATTCTAATTAATTTATTAACCATATAAATTAACAAATCAATTATTAATAACAATCGATCTCATTAACAAATTAATTGTCTATTTTCAATTAATATATTAATCATATAATATATTAACAATTTATTTTCTTACAATTTCGAATTAGTTTATTAATCATATAATAATCTAATAAATCATCATCTCTCTATAAATATCATTCTAATCAAGTTCGTTATGAAGACAATCCAAAAAGAATTTTGTTTTTAATTATAAGAATATATCAATTTAGTTACTAGCTTAAACATATTAATTCAACAGTTATTTTATAGTTATAACTATGTATTATAATTAATTATATCATTACTAAAAAAATTCTATTTTTTACAATTTTAATTGGTAATTTTTATGCCGTTGATATCCATGGCGAAGGATAATTTGGGATTATTCATACTCATAACTAATTACGGTATTCAATAAGTTGACAAGCATCTACATTCAGTCGAACCGAAAGAGAAACAACCTCAAAAAATGATATACACCATAAACAGATTTTTATACGCTTTTAAGGTAAGTACATGATGAACAATTTATTATTTATTTTGTTTGCTTACATTCTAATACATGATTATTTCAGATATGGATTCTCAAAACTTTTCTTGTGAGCAGTTTGTTTGGTACCCGACAAGAGAATTTGATACATCAGGCTATTGTATGGTCGAAACTGAAGTCTTTACAAAACCCTCAGTGCAACCAGTTTCTAAAAATCGATGATATATGACTACTTACATATTTTAAGATTTTATTTTTTATGTATAAGCTATGTTTATTTATTATTTTCTGATTTTTTAGACGGGATTAATAACCTTGTTCAGAAATTAGAGCCGACAAGCTAAGAGTTGTGTTGAATGGTGGATAGTTAGTTGTGTGTGGATTGATCCCCCCTTATTTTCCCAACACAGAAGTTCACATGGCACCTTCCCTAACATCATCACCCAAAAACACCCCTACCCATGAATATCGACAAAAGAAGACACGAATAAATGATTCATCTCATCTGGCACCACCACCACCACCATCAGTCGTTAAACCATCAACTGATAAGGACCGAATTATTGTGACTTGTAAAACGAGGTCCGTCAATTGCAAAATAAACAAAGTGAATTACGCGAGCAATTAAGGTCACAGGATAAGCATTTAGCAGAGCATGACGCTACTTTAGCCATGGTTCTAAAATTTATCAATAAGGCTCCCAGAGACGATGTTGGTACCTCGAAGAGGGTGGAGGTACATTGTTAATTGTTTCATTGTTTATGGTCCTTATGTTTTTGCATCGTTTACAAGTAAACATTATTGAACCTTGCAGGCATTCGTCGTGCTAGATGTTGGTACCACAAACTACAATGATGATGACTTATGGGAGCATGATTATGGGTTAAGCACATCCAAACAGCCGCTGAATGACGGCCCTGAGCATCCGTCTCCATGTATTCAATCATTGGATGTAAAAGAGATTTTGCAGGATGAATACAAAACACTATCGACAGCAACTCTTAGGCGTTCTAAGCGCCAAAAAGTTGTGTCCATATGGTATAAGTCCCCATGGATACAAATGAAGAGAAAAGGTGTTACACGGCAACAACCAGCATCGTTGGACAATCTTTTAGAACCTACCGTACACAGTGTATAGAAAGAACGAGATGGTTCGTTGTTGATTGGTTATAGTTATTTGACCGGTTTTGCTACGATTGAATTTTTCACACGGTTATATGTGGATAATCAGGAAGGATGGTTGTCATGTGATGTAAGTAATATAATTATGTGTGCTCATTACATATTGCGCTTCTAATAACAATACTTATTTTACTACAAATATATATATATATATATATATAATATATATATATATATATTGGCAGCACATAATGATGTTGATCTCATTGCTGCTAGAGTGTAGAGCGGATGATGCTCGGTGGACGGTTGTGTCATCGGCTTTCAACACAGATACATTTGACTGGAGTGACATGACTGACGGATTTGTTTATC